AATTTTGGATTTAATGTGCAGGAGGGTGGGAGATTTCCGCTGAAACTACGGTAAAAATCAATGAAATAAGGCGGAATTCTTGCACCATTTTCTCAGGTTTATAATGCGGTCGTGCGTACCAGAAAGTTATGATCATACCTAATTACTTTGTCGTGCACTGCTGAACAAATAGAGGCGTAATTGTTCTTTGTTCCCATCCCTACAAGGCTTAAATCAAGTAAACCTCTGCTGCGACTGCGGCCATCCAAACCAAACTATATCCCATATTGTCAGAGAATGTCCAAAAAGAAAACAGACTGACGATATGGAAGACTTTGCCAAAGCATCAACAAAGGTTGTGGAGTGAATGGCCAGTCTAGACATCAAATTATTAATAACAATATTAATGGTATTTTCTAACTTGAAAAGTATTTACTCTTTTACTGTGGTCATTTTACTTATTTATTGTTATTATTAATTATTGTCTGCATACTAAGATATATCTCTATAAATCCCCACAAAAACTTAACCTTGAATAAAGAACCAAGTTCTGTAGTGACCCAGTCAGGATGTTAAAATCGATCACCACAATTACGAGGTATATATGAAAAAAACAGTTTGTACAATAAGTTTATATACCGGTGTTCATAGGACCATGGACAAAGTCCACAATAGTCTTAACACTACTCGTAAGCAAGTAAAAGTTCAGGTTCAGTGGGTTAAAGAAGCTAATGTACTACTGATCAACTCAACATACGTTCCTACAGGTTTAAATAATTTCCAGGAATGGGAAAAAGGCTTACGTCTGTATGATAAGCCTGCATGCGCTAGAATGTTACAATATCGTTCGTAAAGTTGGGTTTGCTCAAAGTACAATTCGTGTGCAGCTAACTTATATACAATTATATGTATGTGCATATAAAGAATATTTTAGAATTACAATAATAGAATGGATAATAATAATATATCTGTCTACATATTAGTATAATATACCACCAGTAACTAAAATCTTACTAAGCAATGTCGGTAAACTTGACCCACGTGTCCGCTACAGTTCCCGACCCCCTCTCAAAAAAGCCAGCCTATTAAAGTATATCTAAATTATGGCCAAGTCTACTCTATCTTTAGTCCATTCACTCCTGTGTTCATGAGCAACATTGCTCTTTTATTTGTATTGCACTTGACCAGTTTCTGAATGAGACATAAAACATCAGTATCATACTATTATAAACAGGTAATAATTATAACTACAGTTTATTTACACATTTTTGGGCTTCCATTGTTTTTCGTAAAGTATGCTTAATATAATATTATTTGTTTATAAGTATATTTTTGATGAAAAACAATAAAGGTAATATTTATCATCCAAGTTCACATTATTGCGATGTAAAAGGGAAATCGTTGTTTTATACAACACGTTTACCATAGAAAAAGGATAAAAGAGAAAAAAAATTACAACGTATGTAGGTATTGCAGTCCATACATTTTTGAGTTACTAGTAAAATACCCTATAAAAGAACAACCTTGAACTGCATGAGTTAAGAACCGTCTCACGGGACCAAGTCGTTATATCCAGTTAATTTGCTCACCCTTCTTCGTACAATAGAAAATTGGACCCATACCTACTAACATTGTTTAGTTATTTTAAGCTTTACAATATAAATGACCATATTACAACAAGAAGTTCAGCTAGGTATTTTATCTAACAAATGCTTAATAATATAACTAAAATAATATATCTGTGTTGTAAAATATACCAATAAAATAATTCTTAAGCTAATAATATTTTTATTAGTAAGTTAATATTTCTATTGATAGAAAAAGTAGTCCGAATAAAAAATAAAACGCAAATAAAGACATTATAAATTTTAAATATTTTTATTACTTCAATTTTATAAAAAATAAATGTAGGTATACTATAATAACATTATAATGTTATAATGTTTATTTTATTAAAAATTATTCTCTAACTCAAGTTACAAATTGTATTAAAATCATAATAATACATTTTCCTAAATTTACTTTCACTAAAATAAAATAAAAATAATATTGAGCTCAGGATTTTGGAAAAATTGAGGGACTTAAATTTGTAAGTTTCGTTCCGGAGATAGTAAAAATGTACAATACAGCACAGTGTCCATTGCGGCTATCAAAATTCAAAGGTTTCAGATGTCTAATAGAAAAATGCTATTATCACAGATTAGATAAAATTATTTTATATTAGATAAAACTGTATTATCTAATCTGTGATATTATTATTGATCGTAGTTGCTCACCAAACAAATTGTTTTAGCTTTATTAAAGTCAACATAGGTTAGGTAATGATTTAATGGAATACATATAATTATAAGCAAATTAGTATTTCAAAACGATTTTCAAGTGTACTTATATTCTCATTTACATATTTCTTTGTAACCCAAATGTACCCATTTATACTTAACTAAAATTGGATCGTTATTTAAATCCTCTAACTTTTTTTTTGATCGCATACAAATATGATTATTTTTTAATGTAGGCATATTTAAAAATAAAAATGCATAATACGTACAGTGTGATCAAATATTTAACGAAATACACAATTTTGCTTGGAAAATAACTAAACTTATTAGTCTTTCTTTTTAGAGAAATTTTAAGGTATTTTACAATATTATGCAATATTCAAGTTTTAATTTTTTTAATATTAATATTTATTGGTAAAATGCAGAGTTGTATTAACTTTTGAAAACGTATATTTTATTATTTTTTAAAATTAAGAATAATTTCCTAATAATTTTAATTTAACAATAAATAGTTCTAAATAATTATCATTTAAATTTCAAAAGTTTAAACTGTCCTGAACACTAATAAAAGTAGTAAAAATTTTATGACATTGTAAAATAACTTACAAAATTAACAAAAAAAAGATAAAAAAAAATATCATTTATAAATATATTCTTAAATAAATAGAAAAGCCAGCGCTTATAGTAAATTATGGAGGTTTCCAAAGAAAAAAAATGCAAAATTACAAATGTTTTAAAAGAAATTTTGTCTTACGTTAATCATCCTTTAATAGATCACCTTGTATCTTTATTACATCCACAAAGCACAAATTGAAAGTTATAAGTTATATTTTATAACTATTAGCTTATTTTATATTAAATAAGATTTCAAGAATGCGTTTCTTATGTTCGGCTACATTGTAGTATAAACTATAAACTGTACAAGGAACATAGATAACATTAATTTGATATAATTTATGAATATAATTAATTATTCCGGTATTTGCTCTATTATTACGGGTTTTGTATTATTCCATTTCGATACTAATTGTTTTTGATAGTTAATTACCAAAGAACATGCATACTAGTTAATTGAGCTCGGTCTGTTTTATATGACATGTATGTGAATTATGTGAATGTTTCAACTCTTAAATTACCCTTATATACGTATTTTTAATTCTGTCTAACTTAGTTAATATACATTCATATTTCAATAATTGTTTCTTCCATTATCTTTTCTTACTAGACAATTAACGATACCTAAGTACTATATATACATAAATATTTTTGTCAGTTACATTTGTTTTTCCAAGTTTTAAAAGTACACTATCTGGCATTTAGACTTCATCGAAATCAAAGTTTACTGTTTAGTGGTACAGAAGAGCCTTGTTTAATAGGATAGAAATAAAAAACATGTATATCTAGAAAATACCTAAGCAACTTATGGTTTTATATACTTAAGTAAAAAAATAATAAAATATTTCAAAATGCCTTTCAATACATTTTAAAGGAACCACCCTGGCACTCCCCCATATCTGCTAGTAGATCCAGGCGTCTTAACAAGATTTATGAAAATACTTTATATGCAGTATTTAGTAAAGTTATTCCTCTGTAATTATTGTAATTGAGCTTATCGCCTGTCTTATATTATATTATATAGGTATCACTATGGCTGTATTCCACTTTGCGGCAATTCTTCTTTTTCCCATATTCTGCTACATGTTTCATGGGTTATTTTATGGAGCCGACTGACGAGTTTTGAGAGGCTATAAATAACGAACAGTAAAACTTAGAGATAAGCGGTTTGTTTTATTCAAATTATTAACAAATACCGTTTTTGGGGTTAAGTTTTGAAAATTACATCCCCAAGATGGCGACCGTCAGCAGCAATACATTGTTGCAGGCGTTTTTGGAAGTTTTCGTGAGCTTTTCGGCACGTTTCGACAGCAACTTTTTTTTGTAGCGATGAGGCCCATTTCTATCTTTCTGGGGCTGTAAACAAGCAGAACTTTCGCTACTGGGCTGAAAATAACCCACGGGAAATGCCCTCCATTCTCCTAAAGTGACAGTGTGGTGTGCTGTATCCCAACTTGGGGTGATCGGTCCGTACTTTTTGAGGAGGAGAACAGGACCGTCACAGTCACTTCCGCTCGGTATGTTTTAATGTTGACAACTTATCTGCAGCACGAGTTGGAGGAAATGGCTGAAGATCATAACTTAAGAGATGTGTGGTATCAACAAGACGCCAAAAACGCCTGCAACAATGTATTGCTGCCGACAGTCGCCATCTTGGGGATGTAATTTTCAAAACTTAACCCAAAAAACGGTACTTGTTAATAATTTGAATAAAACAAACCGCTTATCTCTAAGTTTTACTGTTCGTTATTTATAGCCCCTCAAAACTCGTCAGTCGGCTCCGCCCCACCCTGTATATGTGTGTGTATCAAGTGATTTTTAGATTTTTTTTTCGTAAAAAATTGAATTTGTTTTTTAATGTTAACCTCCGCACAAACCAAACAGAACTTTGTAATTACTTAAGTTGAGGAGTGGCGAAGGGTAAAATGAAAATACATAATACACATAATATTTCATTCATTTTCCACTTCCTACCCAAGCTCGCCATTTACCATCGTGTGCTTACCTGTCCGCCGAGCATCCAGCACGCGTTAAGTGTCGCTAGGTTATGGTTGTGGCGTGTAGGGAGCGCTGCGGAAAATCAGGGGAATACGTCGGAAACTTTCCTGGATCTAGTGTGCCAGTATATCCGTCGCGGGTTAGTCACCAGTGGTGGTGCATTAAATATCGCCTCTCGGTCGTTACCGGTACGATCGCGTGAAGTTTAATTTTCGGAAACCTTTTTAGGTTTTACGAAAAGCGATATTTGGAAGTGTTTTTTTGGTGTTTAAGGGTATTTTTCAATATATAATTATTAGTGTTAGAGTGTAAGCGTATAAAAATGAGGGTACCCGTTACCACGACACGTATTTCTTGATCACAAATGGGATATGGTGGTGAGTCAAAGAGTTTAATTAATTAATGGCACCTTTAATAAATTATTATTAATGTTATTAATACAGTAAATATCAGATTACAAATTATCGTCAAACATTCAAATGATAAAAAAATGAAATTGAAGACTCAACAATATTTTAACCTCTTTTTAGTATTGAGAATGTGTTTGTTTTTACTTGTATTAATAACTAATACATTTTCAACCAATGGCGTACTTATGGGGGGGGGGGGTAATTTAGAACTTGAAGTAAATAAATAACAATATAATAATTATATTTTAATTTTTAAGTGTTTAGTGTTTTGTACAGTTTGTCTTTTGTTAACTATTAAATGCTCAAACGCATACGGTATACCTATTCTGATATTAAAAATACGAATTTACAGTAATTTTATTCCTAGCTATTTTACTGTAAACTGTTAAGAAGATGTACACATAACTGATAACACAAGATGTTCGGTTAATTAATGTTCGGGTGTACACAGATATACATTAGTACCTATATGTGTTTGATTATTAGAAAAAAAATCTTCTTAACTTTTCTGAAAAATTTTATTTACGAATAAGAAGCTATTTGTGTGTATTATTTTTTTACTATCCCCTCCCCCCAGAGCAAGATAGAATGTAAGCCACTGCAGTTTCAACTTATACATTAATTATACAAAATCTATTAAAACATATTTTGTATTTTTAACATAAAAATATGATTTCTTATTGGTACTCATGAAATAATTTACAAATAAATTAATAATTAAAATGTATAAATTATATTTTATTGAGAACTGTTTAACTGTGTACAATACGCAGATAACCTGTTTTAAACAAATTTTATAGGATAAAACATCTATCTCTTAAGTTTAAAACATAGACATTTTCAGTAATTTTTTTTAAACAGAAATATTAAAGCAAATATAGTATAATATAGAAAATATAGAAAATATAAAAATCTGTGTAATAAACAATAAGAGAATCTGCTTAAATAAAAGACATCACTCGAATTTTTAGTAAAACCCAGTATTCTTATTTAATTAAAATAGAAATTAAAACAATAATTGTGTTACTGAAAAAGTCTGGACTTCTATTGTGACCTAAAAAACGCTTACTATCAGGGAAAACTCACTGATAGCGTAGTATTTATGGTGAGGTTTTTTCAATAATTGCTTCATGTCGGTGAGTGGTGACACAACACTTCCGACTCTCTTCGATTCCTAGGTTTAATATACATAATATATATTATATTACATACATACATATTTTGATATAACAAATATACGCTTTATTAAAATAATAAATTCCTTGTCTGACTCATGAATATGAATTGGGAAAATTCAGTTTTTCTATTTGACTTAATGATTTTAGACGTTCCACACATTTTAATCAAAAAGACGTTTTTATGCGAAAACTTTTGGAGTTTACTAGGCCGAGGTCGGTGAAAATCCTGTATCTATAAATCCTAAACATAGGGTGTCCAAGAAAGAACATTTTTTTTTTAATGCAATAACTTTTTATTTTTAATCAGAATTAAAAAAATCGCATATGGTTGTGTTTAGGACATTCTGGAGTTTACGTATGAAACACGATATTGGGCATATGGATTCTCTACTAGCCCTATAGGCAATTGATCTTAAAGTTTGCGATGACGCGCTCACACATTTCGCCGTCCAGTTCTCACATCACTCTTCGGATCTCATTGTATGGGGACCAATGCTGGCCACCACGGTCTTGCGACCTAACCCCCTGCGACTTTTTTTTATGGGGTTACGTTAAGTCGAAAGTGTACGAGAATAATCCCCGTGATCTCACTCAACTCAAACAAGAAATCTCAAGAGTGATGGGAGAACTGGACGGCGAAATGTGTAAGCGCGTCATCGCAAATTTTATGGATAGATCAATTGCCTGTAGGGCTAGTAGGGGAAGGGGACATATGCCCGATATCGTGTTTCATATGTAAATTTCAAGATCTCTTAAATACAACCATATGCGATTTTATTAATTCTGATCAAAAATAAAAAAGTTATTGCATTTTTTAAAAAAACGTTCTTTCTTGGACACTCTATACATTTTATATGAAGACGCTACGCCTAACCGTCTTTTATTATTGTAGTTTACCGCGTAGACTTTAAATATTCTTGAATAGCTGTATTCTTGAGAAAAGGCAACCTAAAATATTAAACTTAATTTATACCTATTACTTATTGTATAATAAAATTGTATTAGTTGTTAAAATTAAGTAAGGATATTACTACTGTAGTGACCGTAGCATAGATAGCAAGCGAACCTATTTTTAAATATGTTTAAAACCTATTAAAAAAAAACATGATTTCAAAACAGAAACAATAATTTCAAAAGAGCAATGCTACGAATTGAAACGGAACAAAGGTCGAGATTTCATTTAAATTCCCCGGAGTACTACCGGCCATACATGTCTATTATTGTTTGGTCCCCAACAACGGTTTCGGCCTTTAAAGGTTGACCCTTTCAGTCATTGCCAAAGCTATTAAATAAGCCAAATTAAAATTTCACAATTTCGTTTTGGATGTATGTGAACGACACATAATAGGTGGGTAATTAATTATCAAGGTATGTGAACTGGGGACAATACTTTATACCTAAAGTTCTTTTTAACATTCATCCAACTGGGTGAAAAAAAAAGAAAGCGAGAAAATCGGAAAAAGTTAATGTGGCCTTTTCAAATACCAGTATCAGTATTCACATATCGCATTCAGCAATTTTAGTGGGATATCGATTATTTACCATACTTCGTGTAAGTTGAATTGTACTGTTTTACGAGTAAAATATAGAATAGATTTTTTAAAAACATACTCGGTAACAAACTACGGTGAAAAATTCGTGCATTTCGTAGGTATTTAACTTAGCAATTTTATAATATTAGAAGTTAAAAAGTAAAATACGTATTAATTGACGATATAAATGTTTTTGTAAATAAAAATAAAAACGTCTTTAATGAATTTTAGTAATAGTGTTTAATTTATATTATTTGGTTTAATAGGGTCCAACTAAGATTCATAATCATTTTATAATTTATTCTTAACAACAATTGGTATTTAGAAATTCTTTATTTTAAGGGCCTTAAGATAAAATATGTTTCTTTCTTCGTAGAAATGTAACGATGTATAAAAAATATATCGAAATACTAAGATACAAACTGGAAATAAGCTGACATGGAAACAGTTTATGGATTCTTTGCTTTTTGGTTCTAACGAGATTAATGGCTATTATTGATTCACCAGAGTATCAATATCCTTGGCATATGACTCAAAACAATTAACACAATAAAGTTTTTCGATAAATTTGTTAGTTACTTTTTCTATTTGTATTAATAAGTTTCTAATTTATTCTGTAACAAAAAAAGAACAGTCGTTTAGTGCTAGAACTAGACATTACCAATCCTTTATTACTATTTTGTAAATATTATTCTTGAAATGTTCACTGAGTAGGTTATTAACCAAATATATTATCTATATTTTAATAATTAAAAATTATTTTGATATTGTTGGATAAGTTACATTCATTACTAGAGTAATCAACGTAATACAAATTAAAAAACAAGTTTTTGGATCATAAATCAATATTTTATTAGTCAGCAGAGTACATTAGAAAATTAACTTGGGCGTCTACAGGCTTTAACAAATAATTATTATAGATAAGAATATGTTAGTGAACAGTTTAAAAAGGGACGGAATGCATGAGTTTGATTATCGGATAAATGTTCGACTAATTTTTTATATATATAATAGCAATGCGAAAAATAAGTCGAACATTTATCCGGTAATCGAGCCCAGACCTTCCACTTACCGGACGGCTGCTCTGTTCACTGTGCTACCTAATTAAGTTTAAAATATTTTTTTGAAAAATATATTTATAATAAACTGTTAAAGTAACCTAAATCTAGTCAGCAGTTTATATGAAAATTTAAGTGAACCACTTAATATTTAAACTAAATAAATTAAATTTTTTCTTTACAAAGTTTTTTTAATTCAATGTGATCTCAATTTTTCACCATTTTTTTTATTTTTATCCCCTTCTCAACTTTTATAGCAACTTTTCAAACCTAAATGGTAACGCATACATTTCATTAACTTTTAAAATTGAGAATAATGTCTAAAAATGTTGACTGGTCGATAACCAGTTTTGGAAAACTATTTTCGAAGTTATTGAAGTTTCAAGTTCAAGGCAGGAGAACAGGTGGAGTGTAGTATTATTTTTATCAGCGCGCATTTCCCAACCGCACTTGCCCTCCCAACTTTTAAACTCTTATAACTTTACAAATAGTTATCTAAAACTGGTTATCAACCAATCAACATTTTTAGTACATTATTTTCAATTAAAAAAGTTAATGAAATGTATGCGCTATCATTTAAGTTTCAAAAGTTGCTATTAAAAAAACTAAGTTGGTAGGGGGTAAAAACAAAAAAAAATGTGAGAAAATGAGATCACATTGTTTAAAAACATTATCGAAAAAACAAATTTAATTATTAATTAAATCCAGGGAGATATTGAGTGGTTTACGATATCATGGATCTCCCTGTATAATATACGTACTTGGGCGTGCCTATTTTGAAAATATATGAAAGTTTTTCAAACAACAAGTTGATATTTTCACTAACATTTATTAGCGACTAGTAGCTGTTTAAATAACATCACAACTGGACCTGCTATATTCACCCTGGATTTAGAGTTTTTTTTTAGTCCTTGGGCTACAGATTTACTGCTGACAAGATAACATACTTAACGTACATGCTGAGGATTAGAGCTGATCACTATAAAGGGCACGATAGATTAAAATTATATCAAAGCATATAATATAATGATGGTAGTATGTTAACGAGAGTCGAGGAAAAAAAGCTTATTGAATAACCAAGATGAGTTACCAGATCTGATTGATTTTTATGAAAAACATTTTAACTAAGACGTTTATATCAAGGGTACCTAAAGACTTTTGATCTCTTTCTAAAGATTAGTAGAACTCACGTTAAATTA